CTTCCCGCCTTTTCAACCCACCTCCTATGCCCCAGTACAGCTACCGTCCTTTCCTCTCTATTCCATGCCTCAAACATCTCCCTGTACGTTCCATCTATTTTTCCCAGCTCAGTCACGTACACTTCCCTCTCCTTCTTGTACAACGGACATTCCGCGACTACATGAACACGGTCTTCGCATTCGAAGCCGCAATCACATTTGAACTCGTCGTCTTCCTCGTCTACCGTCCTATGTCTTCGTCGACGTTCTCGGAGGCCTATGTCCCCGGTCCTGAATTTGACCTTAAGCCTTGTTCCTGCATCCATTGGTCCATGTAGGTAATCCTTGAACCCAATTCCTTCCTTCAACATTCCGTACACTTCTGGACCCTCCTTATCCTTGGATTCTTTCCTTAGATTCTGTTCTTCTCTCTCGGCACAAGCAACAGATATCTTCTCCTTGAACCCTTGTAGACCCTCCGTTTCCAGCGTTTCATCTTCGTCGATGTCGAGCCCCTTCCATACGTCCTCTACAACCTTGACCCATTCCGTGGGTTGTCTACCCCTCATTTTGTTTGCCCACTTCGCCTCCCATACAATTCTCGGCAACCTCTCCTCTCCCATCCCGCACATGCGATACTGCCATGTCAGCTTCCTCGCGTCTCTTCCTGACCGTAGGGATTGGATCCCCAATACAACGGGGGCGGCGGATTGTTTTACAACGTCGTTGCCAAGCGACGACAACCCAACCCCGGTGGCTAACACAGGGGGAGAGAGGGATGGGGGCGGGCGGCATACTTTGCTGTTTGCATGTCATGTCTTTGCGGTTGGTACTTGTGCTCACGTGTTTGGCATGCCTTAGCAGTTAGGACATTGATCGTGGGATGGGTGGGGCGTACTTTTTTTTTTTTTCTGTTGCTGTTTCCGTGTCATCCCCTGTTCCGTGTCATCGGCAATCAAGGCTAACCCGAAAAAATGTAGACATGCCGTAAATGTCGGAGAGATGGCACCCCCCCCCCTGTCTTGGCTTTTTTTTTCATACTTTGAAGTAGCGTGTTTTCCACAACCAGGGGGGTATATATCACTGCCGAAAAGGGCAATTTTGGAAGCATCTCGTCACGTGCTTTCCTGAGAGGTATCGGTTGGTGTTCGCACCCTCCTTGTAGTGGAGAAATAGGCTATTATAAAAAACGCTCTAAAAATACGCTACCACGGGGGTGTCATCACCTCCGACTCTTTCAGCACCCAGTATTCTGAAAAATCAGAGAGGAATATCCGGATCCCCAAAAAACACAAGAGCGTTGTGGGATTTCTATTTGGTCCTGGTGTCATCGGCGATGGTTGCTACCCCACACGAACGTAGACAGGCTCTGCATTATGAACAATCAAAGAGAAATGAACGGACCCCCCCCCCCCCCCCCCCCC